TGTCCTCACAGATGGCTATCAACCTACAGTTGAAATTTGGAAGCAGAAAAAGCAGATGATATTTGATCAGTGACAACGATTTTAGCTTTATGAAAAGGAGTAGCTGTCCTATTAGTCCAAGTGGTTAGAAATCTATATTCTTCATCCTTTGAGTCAAGGACTTCCAGGTTGTAAGCTAAAAAAATGAAGCTTGAAGATGGAGGAAATAGAGTGCTTTTATGAATATAATTTGGTAAAAATATATGGAGGAACTGGGTCAATCATTGTACTACATGGAAGATTTAGGAGAACTTGATGATATCCTGACTATTTTGTAAATATTTTTATACATGGGGTTGCATCCTCTTGGTGCCAATACTTAATAATAAATTTATACTTCGTCATTTCAAAAAAAAAAAAAGATAAAAATACAGCGAATTTTGATGCATAGAAATAAAGCTCAGACGAGGCTTTTTTTTTTTTTTTCAGTTTGTTTCTCTGAACATGTGTTTTGTGTTACGTTCTTTGCAAATGAAAAATTTTAACCCTTAATAATGTCTGAATGTTTGAAAGATCATAATCATGTCTTATTCAATGCAGATGAATTCCTGTTTTTTACTAAGTGCATTTTTTTCACTGAAGTCCGGGTGTGGAGGGCGAGAAGGTAAGTAAATAGGAATACCTGTCACAAGAAGGTAAGTTTTCATATGGTATTCTCATTCTCAGGTCAGAGCACTGCAGTCTGATAAAACGCCCAACTGCAAGCACGAAGGTTATGTAGAGGCCCCAGATGCTGAACTTGCTTAAAGTGTCACCAAGAATACCCTCTATAAAGTTGTATAGCAGCGTTAATAATATCATCCGAGATAAACCAAAATACCTATTAATAACCTATGAAATGTGATCAAGTCTTTTGATACTTACGTGGAGGTATTTCCTCAGACATTATGATGGCCATGGGTCCTTTAAGACCTCCACAGCCAAGTATATCAGTTGAGTTGATGTCATGAAATGACCACCACTTGAAATCTGCACGATTCATTTGCAGGTCTGCGCTAACTTCATTTACCTGTAAATAGTATCTATTCAGATGTCTTTTTAGCATCTCAAGTTATAACCTTCATGATTACTACTGGAAAATGGCTCAAAATAACATTCTCCAAATTCTGTAGTGTATATTACTTACGAACACAAGTTCAAAAGAGAGTGGAAGATAGATTTTATACTTGCACAAATGGGTGATGTTTATTATCCCCTTTCTTATTTTTTTTGGAAACTGAAATGACTTGAGTTTTATGGCTAGAATACAGTAGGTATTAAGACAAGGACTCAGGCATACCTCTTGTTCAAAGGGTCTCACTTCACCAGAACCAGTAACACGGAAGTATTTTGGATAAAGATTGTATACCCTAAAGCTGTCTGTAGAACCATTCAAAACTTTTTGGACATCTGATCTTTCTGGAAGATCCACGCGATCCACAGTTCTAACATATTTCACTACTTCCTTGCCTGTGGGTCGATCCCTGGTAAGGACCCATGTAAAAGTGATATCCATATCGGTCTCCCGATTAAGGGACTGTGTGAATCTGGACTCAACCACATCAGGAACAAGCCACAACACGCTAGCATCAGCTTGGCAGCATATCAACTGGATGTCATTTTTATTATAAGTATCCAAATAGTGACGGGGATCGAGATTGTAATAAGAATTGAGCTTTTCCCATGGGAGCTTCTCACACAAAGTTGTTTGATACAAAGTCAGCTTTCCACTCACTGTCTTAATATCAATTTGGACACTAGCATCATTAATAGGGTTCGCAATGTTAGTGGGGTTACCACTGCTGTACATCTGTAAGGGGAAAACATAATTTCAGCTTTTCCTATCCAACATTTAATCACAAGTCAAGTACTACACACGATAGAACATCCAGGTCAAGCCCAGGATTACTACATAAAGGATGAAGAGATGTTAATCACTGTAACTACCATATTCTAATTCATGCTCGTGTCCCAACATGAATTTGCCCCATGTATCACCTTTCATGACATGGAAATGGCCTTACATGAGACAGAGTTATGTAAACCAGTCCATGCTTAATCTCAACATAAAAGATAATCACGCAAATGCTAGTTTCTGCTATCAAAGGTTCTTACTAGCATTGGAGCCCAGATAACACAGATTAATATGAAGAACAGGCATATCCCATTGCAACATTTGGTCATCTTTGTTTGCTTCTCTCCTTGTTTGTGCGTAGACCGATTCAAAACAGCATCACATTTAACAAGGTACAAACTTGCATTTATATCCTCCAGCTAAGAAGAAAGAAAGATTAGCTTCAAAAATAAGGAGCCATATTGACCTATTGAAGTGCCACTGTCTAAGGGAAGGGGGGGGGGGGGGGTGGGGAGAAGAAGGAAATGGTCAATTTTTATTCAATGAAATACTGCTGCAGATGGCTGCCTGATGATTCATCAGCACCAGTTACACTACAGATCAATTCAAGTATAATATTAGCAACAAAAGTTTGCACTTACCTTCAGCCAGTCATACATTGTCAAAGATGTGGTTGTACATGACCAATCAAGTACACATCGCAATTCATAAAGAAACGGTAGAGCACGATAAAGTCTGTAACCTAAGTAGTTAACTCGTGAAACTTCACTTGTCAGAAACTGGCGATACAAGGTGCTTTTATGAGGAATTCCATGTCGGATTTGTATGGCCTGCAGCGCTAGAGAAACTGCTTTTGCAAGAAATATAACACGAAGTGCAAACCCAGCAGCATGTTGCTGGGAGGGTTCTGTGTGCCAAGCATACTCTGTAACTGAATATGTAAAGAGAATGAGATTGAAAAGGTAGAAAATCACTTTTCCGGTGGCGAATGAGCATAGGTAAATAACGCGATCGAGGACAATCAAGAAAAAGATAATCTGCATGAAGCAATCATCTAATCAAGTTATGAAACTAGATGCATACAAGACTTTGGCTACAGTATACAGAATGCAAAAAAGTAGCAACTGAGCCACCAAACTTGTCTCAACTGGAACATTTAAAATATGGACTCAAAGAAAGAAAGTAACAGCAAAAGAAGATTATACTTACCATTAATATAAATACGAATTCTTTTGGAAACTGGTCTTCAAGCTTATAGACATCAAGGAATTCGCTTTTATTTTTTATGACAGACTGATAGAAAATTGCAACTAGAAAGAACACAGTCAAATCTGCACCAAATATGTAGGCATAGAGATCAATTTCCCTTTTTCCTCCTCCAATCACAGAAAGGATTGGATATGGGAATCCAATTTCTTCAACATATCCAGCTCGTTCTGCTTGTAGAATTTCTTTTGCTACATCAGCTGCAGGCGTCAGCGATTTATGCCATTCTGCTGAAGAACAATCTATCAGAGGGGAGGCATACACAACCTCAAGAACAATCATCGCCATATTTGGGCTCTCTTGCCTTCTTTCAATGCTTTGAACGTGAACCCTACTAGAGAAAGGGCAGAAATCTGGATTTTCTTTCTCGCATCGTTCATCATGAACTTTTTTAAGTAGCAGATTTATTCCAGACTCAATCTTCTCTGGCTGAATCCCATCCTCTGGCCACTGATGAACATCCATAGAAACCTGGATAAAATAAGGAGGAGATTCTGCTCCCTGTGTCATAGATATCCAGTACCTAAAAGTGTTTCTGACTAGCGATCTCAAAAGATCCCTCATTACGTAGAAGAGCTCCTCTGCCCTCTCGATCAAACTATAATTTTTAAGAATCTCTTTTCTAGAGGAAGCTCTCCTGCGGTAACTGAAATCTGTAGAAGGCATCCATTCACCATCTTTTACTGTTATTGCACTCTGAATGAGGGTAAACAAATATATAAGAAAAAGAGGCAGTGAACTGACAACAAATGATGATTTGATTTTATGTGTGGGGAATCCTAACTCATGAAGTAAGCTTGAGTCAATTTTCAAACCACAGTGCTGGATTACAATCTGGTAGAGATACAGGAGCAAAATATAGACTTCTGTGTAGATTAGCATAACAACCCAAAAGATGTAATTAGGGCCAGTATTCACACATAAAGCATACAAGAAGAGAGCCCCAAGATAAACCATGGAAAGCAGACTGAAGTTCCAAAGAAAGACCAGAATGAAGCAACAGTAACACACTACATCATTGTTAGACTGCATCTGAGACCATATGTGACGGAATATCCTTCCTAACTGCAAACTTGTCGCATCAGAACTCTCTGATTGCAGAGAAGATGAACGATCTAAACATGTATACCTCTTTGTCTGGCTTTCCATCTCATCGTAGATCTCATCATCAGCAGAGGACTGCTCATTCAAGTCTGAATCTTCTTGTGCGATGTTCAAGAAGCTCACAATGTTGTTAAATGCCTGATTTCCAATAGACTGTACCTGGGAAACACCATCTCCAAACAGCTGGACAGCAGACATTAGAGGATTTTCCTTTGCTTGGTCTTTCTCCTTTCTTTCAGTATTAAAAAATGCACCATCACCATCCTGTTCGATTTCAGTAATCTCACTGGGAGGAAATTCCATTGAGTGCCTCAAAGACCCTACTGCTTCTAGACTTTCCATCTTTGTATCAGGAGATTCATGCACCACAGAAGGCAACACTCTGTCCTCTTTTATAATCTGCTCTTGTTTTGTCAGCCAGATCTCCTCTTTATCAGGGCTATCAACATCCCTTTTGGAAGTACAAGAAGTGTTCCTCCTCCTCCTTAGGCCTTCATTACCAGGAGAAACATCCCCACGTTTAGTACTTGAGTTCATGCTATGAAGCTGTATTTGCAAGTTCAGCATTTCAGATTTCATCTTCTCTACTTGTAGATTACGCTGCCATTTCTTCTCCTCAGATTCACGAATCTGTTGAAGCTGAGCAGTTTTCCATGCAGCTTTCTTCTCTTGTTCATGCACAATAGCACCAATTTGCTCTGCTTCAAGATATCGGGAAACGTAATCAAATTCTTGGGATGAAAACATATATGATTGTAGTGATACCAGCATAAATATGATAATCTCAACAAGAGCAGATCTTGCAGTAATCCGAAATCCATAGTCATATTTATAAAATCCAATCACCTCATATATATAATCAATTGTTTCACACTTTCCGGCACTAAACTCGCCCACAAAAGGGGATTGATAGGCAAGAGAAAGAATAATAAGAGCAAAGTTGTATATCCGCAAGAACTTGAATATTTTGTTCTTCTTCTTCAGTATTTCGAGTCTCATCCGAAAGAAAACGAGAGCAAAAGCAAGATAACCCAGGTGTAGAATGTCATACTCGAGAGTTCCAGTAATCAAAATTAATGCAAGCACAAGATCCAATAGATGGCAATAACAGTAAAGCTTCAGATAGTCAAGAAAGGTCCACATGCTTTTAGTGTCAAAAGAGAGATCTCTCCAGACAAATGAGTTTTTACGCTGAGACATCATCTGCCTATATGTTGATGATTCAGGGAATCTGGACAAGTGATCAGCACGAAGTTTGAAGCAAGCAAGCATAAACACCACAAAATAGCTGATAAGCATACGAGGATCATCAACAATCAGTCCTACAAGAAAAATACAACTAGAAATTAGAAGATTATGTTGTCATGATTATAAGCTAGGAAAAAAGAAATTAGATAAATAGATAGATTGATTACAGGAATTGCTTGAGGTTTGCTCCAAGTATCTGGCTAATTCAAAGGAAACTCTTTGAATAGACTTATTAAATATCCATACTATTCTTTCACACAGCTTGAAAACTATTAAACGACAACCAATTAAATAGATGGGTTTTCAAAACAGGCAGATCAATGCCTGAGAGATGTTTGGATGTGAAATTTTCTAAACCTGTCATCCATAAGCATGCAGATAAAGCAATTAATTTGATCTTGAAGGTTTGAAAGAGCAATACCTAGCCAACAGTTCTTGCAATATTCAAAATATTGAGCTGAGCTTTTCCAGCAATCATGGCAACTTATATTAAACTTGCTCTCTGGGTGCTGACCTGAAGGCAACATCTTCTTCAAGATGACAAAGTACTCGAGAATGAGAATTAAAGCAAATAAAGAGACAAACACAGGCCACGATTTTTGTATAGCATGCCGCTTCAGCAGAATACAAGCTAAGAGCAATGCAATATATAGCATGGAGACAGCGTTTAATAAAGCAAAACTGGCAACAAGCAGCGCAATCATGTTTATCTCAAGACCAAAGAGGTTAAACAAGTTCTCTATCCAAAATTTCAAATATAGTTTTAGCAGAGTTTTCTGCATTTCAAATCTCTCGTTCCTCAATGCATGAATCCTCTTTTTATTCCACTTATTACTCTCCTTGGTGCTTCCCCAGAAATATCCAAAAGAAAACTTTTTGGTGCTACTACCTTCAGAACCTTCTGTCTTAGTGGACCCACTATTAGTGCCTAAATGCGGACCAGAAGTGAAAGATGGCCATGATTTGCTTGCCCCTTGTTTTATAGATATCGAACCAGGGTTTCTTGACGGCTTGTTTTCCGCATTAGAATTGGGAATATTTGAGGCCGTGTCTTCTGCTGAGACAAACAGTGGACAAGGCTCTTCCCACTTTCCCTCATTTTATGGTTTTACTTGGCATCCTCTCCAGCCAATGAAGACATGTACTGAGAGTACATGCGCAATCACTAGCACTTTTCCCTTAAGCTGATTCCAGACCCCAAAAACCAGGCCCATACACTTGGAAACTAAAAAAAGGGCCAAGTCGGAATGCTTTTGTCAGGAAACATCCCGGCCTGTTTACCCCACATTTGAAAAAGATACTCGGACATCACTAGAAATCCTGTATAAACCAAAAATGATTTGGATGGGATTCGAGAAGCTTTGGGCAAAGTTGAACAAAGAACAAGGCCAAATAGGTAGAGAAATCCAAAAGCACTAATTGGGGACAAAGATGCATAGAATAATGCAACAAACAAGATCTTCTGACTGTGCCAGATCAGCAACCTTCTAATAAGCCCAAGTGTTCCAGATTCTAAGGGATTGGGACCATCTGCCCTGTTGTGCCTGCTTTGTCTCCTCTCATAGCTATAAAGTTGCATCACTATCAGAACTGCTAGAGATTCCCACACGTTCTCCAATAATGAGGCTTTGGAGTTGTAACCCAAATAAAAATACAGATCTATTATAGTGGACAACCACTCCTTGAAGCTGGGGAAACTGCTCAAGCTATAAATGAAGATAAATACAGTAATTGCATAAGCTTTCAATGGAAACCATAAGCGCCTTTTTGTTTTCTCAACCAATTGTCTTCCAGTGATCCAAAAAATGAGAAGGAAAATGTACCCAAATGATATACAATTGGGTCTAACTAGATATACTGCAAGAAGAATAGTGAGGAAAGCTATGTATGTTCCACATGATCGATACATAGATAGGAACTTCTGTCCAATTGCACTCAGGAATGCAGCAATCCTTCTCTCTGAAAGTACATGAAACAAAGGAGCATGTCAAACTGCCAATAATAACAATAGAAGTGAAAGCTAATAGCACTAGTATATGTTTTCTGAAATATAATGATTGACCAGATATGGAAACTTAAATTAGGCACATTTTGTATTCAATATGTACAATTTATTTTTTAACAGTTTCAATACTTGTGATTTGGTTGTTAGTTAGGTAACAAATACTGTTAGTTTGAACACATGAATGGTTTAAATTTTAAAAAGTTTGACATGTAAATTACTCAGCTTTAAATTTTTCAAAATTAAAAGCAAAGTAAAAAACTAAAAGTTGTGTTAGTTTTAACATACACAAACTCTCTTAAAGTTCTTCAATCCAGATTTTTTTAAAAAAAAATTTGTATTTTAAATTTTATCATTTAGTTCTTTTTTTTTCAATTTTAGTTTCTTTAATTGTAGAAAATATAATCTGTATCATTCAAATGTCAAAGTTATGAAAATTCAAACTCATTCATTATGTTCAAACTAAGAGTATTATAATGTATGACTAACGATCAAAGACAGCATTTGAACTATTAAAAATAAATCTTATGTATTGAATATGAAAAAATTCAAAACATAAGTTTTAAACTATAATTCGTACCAAATATTATAGATAGAGTTATAGGTCTCATCAGAAGCTTCTAAAAAGAAAGCTACCATTACCAGATGAAAGAATCCGCCGTGTGATGCATAGGGCTGACATCAGGCTTGGGAGAAATCCTAGTAACCCCATAATGTGATGTATATCATGCTTAATATTCTAGTTGATTTTTTGTATCGTTTTTATCCACCAGAAAGGGAAAGAAATTTAGCAAACTCATAATAATGTCCCAGGGTATCATTTGCAGTTTGTCAAATAAACAGTTTTATTTCTCAAATTAAATGATAATATCTCAAAATTAATGCTCTAGCCAACTTTGAAATTTTCAAAAGATTTTCACAGATCTAAATGCTTAGATGACACATAACTTATACCAAAGAAGGACAAATTGGAGCAAGGATAAAATTATACCATAAGAAGGATTCTCGTGGCTGTAATTCAGAGTTGGTGAGGCATACACTGACAAGAGGACTGATTTGTTCAGGCCAGCTTTCAGGATGCTAAATCCAAATGGAGGACTAGGAGTATGCCTTACAATTGCAGAAAATGAAAATAGCATCTCAAAGCCATGATTATGAATAGCACAGAAGCAAGCAAGTAAAGCTATTTCCAGAAAATCCCAAGAGCTTTCATTCTTAAGGAGACCTGCATTGATACCCAAAAAAAGTTTGCATCCTTGCTTAAAGATCTACTCACTAGGGAAAAAAAAATAAGAAAAGCAAATAATAACAATTATATACCTAACTGCAAAAGAATTTGCCCGCTTAAAGACTTTTCTCGCCTCAGAGTGTTAGAGATTAAATCAATTTGAAGAATGTATAGAAGTGCAAAATGAGCTTCACATAGGAGAATAAGGGACTGGCGTATCTTTCTACTGATTTCATGGCTCAGAAGATATATCAAGAAGAATATCACTGCAGCACACATCAGAAATAAAACCAATCAGAGAGATGTTCCTAACTCATGTACCATAAGCCTGCCTCCTAATAGGATGCTTTATAAGGACATAATCCCAAAGCTGAAGACCAATTTTTGAACTAATAACAGCTAAGAATATAAGAGTTTTATAGTGCATACTGTAAACAGCATGAATGAAACCCGGTTTCATGGCAATGAGAAATATCAGTGTTAGCATGATAGGCCGAGAACATTTGCGCAGTCCCCATGCAACTGTGGCCACAATCAACACCTTGGTTTCCTCATCAACTGTAACCAAAGGCAATATATGATTATACAGGACAAATGATAATCCAAATTGCAAGTTGTAAATGAAAAAAATCTCTTGGATAAGAAACATAAGACACTATTGTTAGGCAGAACATGCATGTTGCAATATGATAACTAATTGCATGTATAAACATAGTTAGAAACTTGAATATGCAATATAAAAATTCAATAAAACCCCTTATTTATTAATAAAAAGGAATACTATTCGCACTCCAATTATTAGTGCCATGTACCCCTTTTGTTTGTGATTATTCAATATAGAAAAAGGAAAAGTGTCAATAGCAAATAGGGATTGCCAATAGTGCCAACAATTAGAAAAAGTCCCACTCCACAACTGGAGACTAAAAGGGTATCTTCCACCACCATCAAAATGTCATACCATACTTGTAATGGCCTTAAAACAACAGACGCTGTTACATACAGCCTAAGAAACAAATGAAAAAAAAAAATTAACACAAGTTGAAGACAAAAACCTAGTTAAACAGTATCTTGGAATGATTCTAGCACTGTGGAGGAAAAGATTAGTCTAGGTGGAGTCCTATCTGATTACTCCCTAAGCCATTGCAATTATTACCTTCAACACTAGAGGTGTCATTTGCGGATTGCCCATTCTCATCCGACAAGTAGAAGAAAACAGAACTGTTCACAAGGTTACCTAAAGCAACCAAAATTCCTAGACAAAATTGTGCAAGCAAAAAGAAACCCGGTATGGAATAATGCCACAGCCCAACCATCTCCCAGATATCCATGTCCTGCATATGTATCCAGATATTAATTTTTGACCACTCAAATTATTGTTAAGTAACAAGAATGAATCACGTCAAAAGAAAAGACTACCTTTCCGAGTTTCAAATTCAAGAACGCAAATGCCACATTGAAAATATACGTGCTAACAGCCCACAAGAGAATGAATACAAGCAGCAGGCCACTTAATCGATGCAACCAAAACAAGGATGGGAAGGCATATATAATGTAGCCAACATATGCAAGTAGCCCAAATGCACATAAGCTAGCAAAATGGAAACTCCAAAAGGAAAGGGCAAGCAAGGAGACCTGTCAAACCCACCAACAAAATCTTCATATAAGAAGGTCAAACTGCTAATTTGAAAATCAAAATGATAATTTTACATGCAAACTCAATATTGAGTGGCATGATTATTACAATGAATAAATTCTGTGTGCATAATGTTTTTCCTAAGATAAGAGGGTTGATCAGTTCATCGAGAAGATGATAAACTGTAGTTCCAGAAGATGTACCAGAAAACCATACGTGAAGAAGTTGATACTAAAAATCCGAAAAACTGCTCCTCTTAACAAAACATTGGTATGCCTTACACCAGATCTGCGATAACCTCAAAAATAAATCATGTAATGTAAGAGCTGATCAACAAAGAGAAACCTGCATAAAAGAACTACACAGTACAATTGAAGATAATAGCAAACATTAGAAAAGAAAAGTTACAGATAGAAAGAAAAATTACTTTACCAAATTATCAGCAAGATCATGCAGAATTTTTTAGTAAGAAAAATATAAGGGCAAAATCTAATGAGAAAAGGAGAAGCTGAGACTATTCTGTCAAATCCGCTAACTTCCGAGTTAGAGATGCAAGAAATGGACTCCAAGTAAGAAAAGAACCAAGTAAATGAGGCACAGAGGCTAGTCATTTTCTTTTTCCAGAATAATAATGATTGTCTTGTAAGAATCAGAAACAAGATTGATTTTTTCAAACTTTCTCACCTTGATTCACGAATAAAAAATGAATGCTTTGAGGGAAGAAGTTTCTCTGTCAAACTACTTCCTTTCACAGACATGATAAAATCCATTTCCTCCAAATCACATTTGACGCAGGATAGCTGCACAAGCAGGCAAAATAAGTATCAAAATTGATATAGATAACCAATAAAAACCAACCCAGTGAGAGAAATATGTCAGAGAATATAATACAGAAAAGAAATTTTTGCTTTTTTTTTTTTAAAATAAAAATATGATATATATCATTTACAAGCACCAAAGAGGTGCCAATCCATGTACAAAATTATTTACACTTCAATCAGAATATCTATAAAGTTCCCAAAATCTTCCGTTATATGCATAAAATGAATCGTAATTAATAATTCATGGTTCGGAACCATCTATCCATAACCCTACCAAAGTTTGCTTCTATCTCCTCAAAAAAATTCTCATTTTTCTTTCTTTCTATACGACTCAAAAAATAATGAGTGGAGTGAAACTCCACATGGTTTTTCTCACCGCTAATACTCTTCCACGCTTAAATCTCATTCCTTACATTGCATATCATGACCCAATTAATTCTTAATAACCCATACACCATGATCCATAACTTGTATGCCCATGAACATCATCACTCTTGCATAGGAAGCAACCATTCACCAAAATCTTTCTCCTACTCTTTATCTTGTCAATAGTAAGTATACATCCCCTCCCTGCCTCCCAAGTGAAAAAGGCCATTTTAGGTGGAGCACTCGCCTTCCAAATTTGCTTGTATGGAAAGTTGATCTCAAATGAGTCATTTTTAACCAAGTAATTGAAGAATCATTTTTAACCAAGTAATACGGGAAAGAAATTTTTACCAATTACCAATTTAACTCTGCTCTATCATCTCTCTCTCTCTCTCTTTTTTTTTTTGGCTCAATGGGAGCCAAAATGTTCTGTCACTTAGCGGTTTATAATTTAACTATTTCATACCAATATCTATTTGGAGCAAAAGAAACCGATTCTCTCATTCCACTATTAGTTTCTTGGTTATTTGGAAAGAAAGAAATAGAAGAGTCTTTGAGAGTTTATGTTCTTCTTAATAGGCTAGGGATAATTGGTTCTTGATGGAAGTGCATATATATATGTAATTATGTATGAGAGTTTATGTTCTTCTTAATAGGCTAGGGATAAGGGTTTTCTTTTCCATACTAAGGGTTGCGTATATTGAACCTTTTTATTCAGTAACAAACATTATATTATCTTCCCACATAGCATCAGAGTTATAGAAAAAAATATACTAACTTTTTACAAACCATAATCGGCCTTCATTGCCGAAACAAGAAAAGTAAAAAAAAAAACACCCTGAACAGGGTTAGCATTCATAGTCAGTCACTGCCACAACAGGTGACGGCCTTCATAGTCGGAGGACAACCCAAAGCGCATGGTCCACTGCCACGTGCCACTACCGCTCCAGCCAAGCCATTTCTGCCAAGCCGCTGCAGCCATGCTGTTTCTTGCCAGCGATTGACCACCACCACGTGCCTACTGCAGCCAAACACAGCATTAGTCGCCACTGCTCCAGCCGTGCGCCCCTGCTGCAAGCACACGCTGCAACAGCTACATGTCGCACCAGCAGCAGGCCCTTGCTCCAGCCATCAGAACGGAGCACTGCTTCCCCAGCCTGTACACCCCTGCTGCTCCACTTCCATCCAGCCTTCACTGCCAGTTACTGCAACAGCCGGCTTTCATTGTCCGGAGTCCTTTCTACTAAGTTTGTTCCACTAATTTTTTAGACATATTTGAAGTCACATCTGGGCATCACTGCTGAAAGGTTAACTTGCAACACTCATCCAAAGAATTACAACACATTCAGACAGCCTTCCGCTTGAATGGAAAAACCACATGAAGTTGTCACAATTGATTCATACTATCCTCAGAGGCAAATGAAAAATCAACTACCTCTTAGGAACAAGGTCACAGCTAAGAGATCCTCAATTTAATGCATGGGAGGAAGAAGATTTCATTGAGATGGGGATATCACCTATTCCTCCACTCTTGAGTAAGATCCATCCACTATTTTTACTGTGAAATTCTAATTACATGGATTACATTCTTGAAACAATATTTTAATTCCCGTTGTGGTTAAATGCCCCTAAGTCAATGACTCAAGTATCTTAACTTCATAAAATAGCATTAGGTGCACTAAAGGAATTTTTTTTGCATGGTTGTCCAAATCCTATGTTGTTACTTATAGGGCTTTAACATAGGAATATTTTTTGGAGGGTTTCTAATATGCTCTTTATTGAATGGAATGATTCCTTAGTGGAGACAGCTTCATTAATAGAGACATGATTTATCTTACTTTATTTGTTACTAACTGATTTTGTAGTCTTCAAATCAACTGATTTTTCGTGAATTTTTCAGCAGTTGCCTAGGAGTATGACTAGTTTTTTACAATGATCACACCAAGATCTTCCCTTTCTTTACCAATTGTCTGAGTTGAGATGAGGTCCCTAGATAGCCAAGGTAGAGTTTTGCTCAATAATAGTGCTTGTAAATCCATCTCCCAATATTATATTTTTTCTTCTTTTTTCTCTCATTCGGAAAATACCCCACAAATACTAGGTAATGGTTCTATTCCGAGTATTTTTTCCGGAACTTCATCTAAATTTTTATTTAATCTCATGAGAAATTTAAAAATTCTTTTTCTTTTCATAATTTCTCTATACCATTTTGCATCATCTGAATAACTCCACGCAAGTTCTTCAAATACATCGAGCCATTGCCAGTGATGGGTGAGCATACTGTAGTACTAAGTTACGGATAGATCTCCTTATGCAAGCTGTGGAGACTAGATTCAACAACAAAAATTTTATGATGTGTTTTCTTTGTTCGAGAAGAACTCCTTAATTGCTTCCCAAATTTCTATGTCGTCCATACAACAAAAGATTCTCATTGATATCATTTTTCATGGACTTAATCAGCCAAGACATGATCGTATTATTCTTGGTCTTTCAAAGTCTGAAGCTTTTGATCTTCTATGCTCGATTGGATGACTTCTCCAATTAGGTATTCTTCTCTCCCTCTTCCATAGATAAAGGTCTTGACCGATATAGATAATTGAACATAGTTGATTCTGTTTAACTTATGAATAGTGATAAAAATTTAAGTATCTTCTGGTTCAAGTTGTTTAATGGAAATAGTTCTATCAGAGTGAGATGTGGCTTCAGAGAGGTTACTGGTTCTTGTCGTGACCATTCCGCATTTGGTTATCAACAAGATAATTTTTTTTTTTATATAGTTTATAGATCTTGATAACATTAAAATTTGTAATTAAGTTTTTTATTTTTTGAATTTTTATTTATGATATTAATGTAAATAGTTGGATATATATATGATAAAAGTAGAGAGAGTTTTATTAGAAAACTAAATATAAATAAGTTCTGTAAAAAGAAAATAACTTTCAGTTATGGAAATCGATTATAATTCTAATTTATAAGGAGATTTTTATGAAGATACCAATCTGCATAGGAATTGGACTTTAATAAGAAGTTAGATTTGTACAAAAATATAAAAGTAAAATACTCATATATAATTAATTTTAGGATTTTCTTTTCTATACTAAGAGTTGTGGATATATAGGATCCTTCTATACTCCCTCTTTTGGAGAGGGCTTAGAGGACCTATTATATATTTTGACTAACTTGTAACAGTTCTTTTATACGTGGGGAGCATCCCTTGGTCCCTTGTATATGAATTATACTTCTTGTCTTTAAAAAATTATATATCTAACATCACTTATTTTCAAAGAATAATGCTCCCTGAAAATTGTTGATAACTCGATAATTAGTAACCGTACCAGGGAAACCTCATTTTCTATATGAGAGCTTCCCTTGTAATCATGCTTACTCAACCAGATCACTGAAGCATGCAGCTTACATGCTTGTAGGAGAACATGAGCTCTGTAGATAATATTTCTTCCTTTTCGAAAGAAAAAGCTACTATTAAGAGAGAAGCAAGAGGGAGGATAAATTGATCCTCTTTCAAACAAAAGAAGAGATAAGATAAAGCAAGGAGGAAAGCATCGATATAAAATCACCACCCCTTCCCCTTATTTGACAAAAGCAATCCCCTGAAACAACCAAGTGCCTTGGCCCCATAAAAAGACTATGCAAGTTGCAGATCATCCTGCTCTAAACAACATGTGCAGGTTCAATGTGGTGATTTAA